AGCTCTGCGCAGGCTGGCAGATTTCCAGCCTGCAAGGGGCTGGAGGGGACAGGAGGAGGGCGGTCTGGTGGAGGGAGCCATGTGCATGTACATGAATGTGGCCCCAGGCAGCCTGGAGAGCAGCTCCCACAGGTAATCTGTGGGGGGAAGAGTGGTGGATTGAAGCCCCCATAGGGAGGGGAGGGGAAGGGAGTTAGGCGGGGTGGGGCTGCTGCCCATCCGGGTGGTGCATGGAGCTTGGAGCCTAGGGCTGGAATGCGTGCCTGCAGGGCCTGGGCAGGGAGCGGGACGGGGCAGAAGGGCTGGCTCTCCGCTGCTGCACAAACTCCTGGGTAGGGGACATGTGCCCCCCAGATTTGTGCATGGGGTGGGGCCTCTGTGGCCCAGCAGGCGGGACCCATCATGGCAGGGCAGAGTAGGGACGGGCAGGGAAGCTTCTTGCTGCTGCGAGCTCTGCGCTCAGTTCTGCTGCAGCAGCTGCCGGCTCCCATGGGTGGCAGCTGGGACACGGGTGCTGCTGCAGGGGGCTGCAGACCCAGGTCTCTGGCCCTGTGGCTCTGGCAGCTGGGGATGGCAGGGGGCTGTGGGTTGGGGGCAAGGGTCACCAACATGGCTGGGAGGCTGTGGGTGGGGAGTGAGGGCCCTGGACCTGCGTCCTGATGAGCGAAGGGGGCAGAAGGAGCTCTGATTTTCTATTATAAAAAGAAAACAAGATCAAATACCAAACGGTATAGGTATTTGGAATTTATTTTATTATAGTGATTGAAGCACTGGTAGGCTTCCAGATTGCTTTAAAATGTTAAATATATCAGTAAAACATTGTGTTCAGCTGATATACATATAAAATATATTGGCTTTTCATTTTAATTGCGAATTTTCTGGGTTTTATCAGAGAATGCGATTTTTAAACCGAGAAAACTAAGCTCCCTGTTGATAATTATTGAAGCTTTTTTGATTTAGGCTCTATTAAAGGTTACTTGAAACTGTTCAGTTGTTACTGTTCTAGGTAGTCTTAAATAGTCATATGCTGTGAAATAAAAAGTTGTTAATTGTGGGCTAAACTACTTATGTACTGAAGCATATTTGATGGTAGGATTTGTCAACATCACTAAGAATAATTAAATCTCATCTGAATACGAGTGAGAGGGGAAATGTCAAACTTTGTTTATAACAGTTTCTTAAATTTTCTCCCCAGGAAAAATACGAATGTGCTTGTAAACGAGAGAGCATTAAAATTGTGACACCTGACTGGGTACTAGACTCTATATCTGATAAAGCTAAAAAAGAAGAGATACCCTATCATCCTCGTCTGATTGTATACGAGGAGGAAGAAGAGGAGGAAGAGGAGGAGGAGGAGGAGGAAGAAGCAGAAAATGAAGAACGAGATTCCCCAAATGAAGCTAGTACAGATGAAAAATTATCAAGCCCAGCATCTTCTCGAGAAGCCTCGCCTTTGGGTGATCGAGCTTTTTCACCCAAATCTGTTAGTGCTGATAAAACAAAAGGGGAACTGATGTTTGATGATTCTTCAGATTCCTCTCCAGAAAAGCAAGAAAGGAATTTGAACTGGACACCAGCTGAAGTTCCACAGACATCTACAGCAAAGCGCAGATTGCCTCAGGGCAAGGACTCTGGGTTAATTAATTTATGTGCCAATGTTCCTCCAGTACCAGGCAATATTTTACCACCAGAAATCAGAGGTAATATAATGGCTTCAGTACAAGGGACCCAAAGCTCTGAACGACCAGAAATGATGGCTACGTGGAGTCCAGCCGCACGGACATTAAGAAATATTACTAATAGTGCTGATATTCAGCAGATTAACAGACCATCAAATGTAGCACATGTAAGTGTTGAATTTTTAACTTATAAAATATTGTGCATTTTATTAGGACCTAACTCTTCTAAGAATGTTCTCTCCTTTTGAAACCCACAAAATGTATAGTGCTCCCAAGTTCTGTATAGATTGCAGATAGATTTAAACGTATCCCAAGATAGACACTTATTTTTTCTGCTGAAAAACCGAAAACAGTGGATTGATGGAATATATGAATTAATGATGTTAAAACAGAATTTAACTCTGATCTTTGATACCTAGGTTCTTTTTATTTATTTCCCTTCAGCTTGTTCTTATTTATGTTTGGTTATATACTGTCTGTGCTGGCAGGAGCGCAAAAATTGATTCATAGACTTCAGACTATTTGGCCAGTAGAGTTACACCAAACTTCATAAACTTGAAGCCTTCTGCCCAGCTGTAATATATTTCCAATTTTGCATTTGTAGTATTTTGTACCATTAGGTATTTGTTAAATTGTGTGGTACACTCAAGGTACAATTGCAAAAGCCATAAGTTGCCGCTGGTTCTCTCATGTGCCACCCATTTACTTATATTAGCTATAACAAAGCTTGCACTGAATTTCTTTTGAAAGCGAGTAATGATGTATATGGGAGCACGTTTAGGTAACCATGGACTTTTATACATGTGTTCTGGTATGTGGTGCCAGGCACTTTAATTAGCAAGCTGCGCTAATTAAAAGCACCTGCGCAGCATGTGTATCAATAACCCCATGCTGAAAAAATTGCAGTGGGGTGCTTTGCACTAAAGCTTATCGAATGTGTTTTATTTCAAAGTACCCTGCTGCTGTTTTCTCAGCATGTGACGTGGAAGGCTTTGCTGTCAGAGCACATCAGTTTCTGTGCTCCAGCAGACTTGATTAATCGTGTCAGGTGCGATGTACTGGATTTTTAGCACGTTGGAGCAGGCTCCCGGCACGTCTGTAGGAGCTCCATGCTATTAGATTTCATCAAATTAGGGGTTATTTAGTTCAGCTCCTCATGCAAATGCAGGATGTGCTATTTGTAAACTATGCTAGATCTCAGTCCAACCTCTTAAAAACTTTCAGTGAAGGAGATTTCATGGGCAGCTAGTTTCATTCTATTGTTCTTATGGTTAGGAAGCTTTTTCTGTGGTTTAATTTTAAGTCTGCTTTGCTGCATGTTAAACCCTCTGTTTCATATTCAGCCCTTGTAGCAAAGAACAGTTTTCCCCCTCTTTCTGCAGGCTTTCAGATTTGACAGCTCCTGCCATGACCCCCCCCCCCAATCATCTTGGCCATGTCCAGATGACCGTGGCCATGCAGTATGTGATGCCGCAAACACATCAGCGGCACCAAATGCCACACATTTAGATATTCTCCAAGCTGCAAGGGCACGTTGCCCATGCATGTTCTGCTCCATTTTTTTTTGATCCCTGACAGGTTTTTTTTGACCCCTGGCTATCCAGGGGTCAAAAAACCCACAAAAAAAGGCAGAGCCAGGCCGCCCAGAGCCATGCCCTGGTTGCTGGCCAAGCTCCGCACGGCAGAGTTGCCACTGCTGCAGCTCCAGGAGGACCCCAGGTAAGGCTGCTGGGGCCATCTCAGTGGTGGCCCCAGCCTCCCCTATCCCCCCGGGGGTGACTTGCCACATGCAAAAGCACATATGACACAGGCCTTTCCTGGGGGGATGAGTAGCGGTGGCGCAAGGTGCACTGTTGCTGCTTGCCCCCAGGGAAGCAAATGTTCATGCTCATTTGGACATGGCCCTTTTCTCCAAACTTAAATGTACCTAGTTCCCCCCAGGCTTACCTCTTACGGTTTGCTTTCTAGTCCCTTTATCATCTTTGTTACTTGCCTCTGGATCATCTCCATTTTCTCTATATCCTCAAAACGCAGATTCCAAAACTAGAAATAGTACTCCAACAGAGGCCTAACCAGCACTAACTGGTACTATCACCTCTGGTGTCTTGCATGCAGTAATTCTACTAATGCAGCGCTAAGTTGCAGTTGCATTTCAGTATACATTCCAGAATTGCAAAATTGCGTTTCAGTGATGCGTGTGGAAAAATGAATAGCTAGAATGCCATGCTACCACATTTTTTTTTTTTTGTATTTATAGACAGGTACATTTTATTCAGATGATTATAACTAGTGCACTTCAGGCACTAGGAGCTTTCGGATTTGGGTTTTTGAGTGCCTATGTCACATTTTCAGAAAAGTGATTTAAGCTTCAAATCCCTTTTGTGAATGTAACTCTTAAGTGAAACATTAAGTACCATGGAGAATCGCAAAACGCATGCTCAGCTCCTGGCTGACATTCAAGGTGCGTTATTTCTCAAAGTACCTAAGTTTCTTCCAGTGGGAACATATACAACTACCCACTCCTGAGTTGTTCAGTGCCCTAGCTCATGTCCAGCTCCCATCAAGATCCAAACCAGGTGTTCTTTAACTGTGATGCCTGGTCCAGTAGCCATTCTCCAGACCCACCTATCAGGTCAGCCTTACACAAATGACTGCTGGACTTCTGCACTCGACTGAGTGCATGATTATGTTGAGTAGCTCTTCGGTAAGCGTCCTAACTGCAGAGGTCAGAGACCTAGTCTCAGATTCTCGCTGTGCCTGATTTGGATTGGGGATTTGAAGCCAGGTTTCCTGCATCCTGGAGCGAGTCCTTATTACATTAAGCCATTTTGGGTTCCTGATCTGAAGCTCTCATTCACTCTCTCCTGCTATAGCTGTTTCAGCTTGTATAAATAATATTCATAGAGCCTTAGAAGGCAGTTAACTTTATTGGGCTTTTATTGGGCTTTTACTTGGGTTACAAGAGGCCTGTTTTGAAGTTTCCAATCTCCCTAATATGGACCTGGGATTTGAAAACAGTTCTCCCATAGCTCCAGAAAGTGCCTAAACCCTCAAGAAGAGGTGGGTCTTTCCTCTCTTATGTGAGAGTTGCAGGGGCGACTTGGCCTGTATGTGCAACTCCAGGTAAGGATTTACCCCTGAGAATCCCAGGTCACATCCATCTCCTCTACGCTACCTACCGTCTACCTGAGGTGGCTCTCAGCTCAGCCAGCTAACATGAAGCCAGTTAATGTACGGGAAACTGAAAGCTGAGAATTTTGCTGGAGCAGCAGTTGTCTGGTGGGTGAGCTGTGATGATGAGCTTTGCTCCCAGGTTCCCTTGTAGAGTTTGCCCTGGGATGACTCTGGAAGATTTTACCCCTTAAAATTTTGCATGTTGTGTCCTGCAGAGTATGTGATGTTTTGGACTTGGGACGGAGACCAATAGTCAGATCTCAGCCTACAAAATTAATTCCAGTGCTATACTGTGTGCAGTGGATTTCTTTGTTTATGTACCTTTTATATTCAGGTAGTGTTCAGAGGCCACAATGGGGTTAGGTTACCTTTTTGCTGGGTATTGACCAGCATACACTAATAAGTTCCTGCCTGAAAAAAATGATGGGAAACAACTGGAAAGGGAAGACTAGAGTAATAAAGCTATTTTGTATAATTGTTTATAATAAATGCTACCACATCATGAGAGTCTAGGGCATCTAATAGGCTTTACTGCAGGTGAAGACAGGACCATGTTTAATAATCTTCCATATCATTTGAAAGCAAAACCAGGTGGACTGAAAAATGGAATGAACATGCTAACCTCTGTTAGGCTTATCTGTAAAGACGAATAAGACATGTACTAAGTGTGGAGAAATCACACTCTGTCTCTGCTGTAAGCAGGCAGCAGCTGCCCCCATCTGTTTCATTTATGACTGAGCTGTGACCTGGGCTGGAGACATTCCTGCGGGACGGGGAACTCGTTCTCCCGTCCTGTGTAACCTTAAACCCTCACCTGAGGTTGGTGACGTTTTTTCAAACTGACCAACTGGTATCGGCCATGGTTTGAAGATACTGGTTTGGGGTGGAAATTAGTGATTAGGTCACGATGGGTATATAAGGTCCTTCCTAGAAGGAGAAGGGGAGACAAGTTTTGGGGATTCAGCCAGGAAGCCATGCTGCCTGTAGAGCAGGCTCAGTCAGCCCCTGCATGGAATTGTGAGTAATTTACCTGAAATGTAGTTAGGAATTCAGAATCTAGTGTTTTAGTCGCTTGTCAAAAGGCTACCACACCGTTTGTTTGCTCTGGGATTTTCTTTTAGTACTTCTCTGACTTGTACCCCTCCCCAAGCCTACCCTCTTTACCCAATAAAGTTAGCAAACCTTGCGGTACATGCTTGAGAGGGATTGGGCAGGCCTTTTTGCTCCTTTGACTCAGCTGGCTAAGGGAGGCTACTTTCTAGGCTTCAGGCAAATAGAAGTACCCCAAGGTCTGCAGGGCCTATGTATCCCGGGCAGCATAGGGCCCAGACAGAGACCTGACTCCGGGTGGTGGCAGCAGTTACCCCAAGCTTGCAGGTGTGCTCCAGGAAGGGGGATGGCCAGAAGTTGGTGCCCCCAGAGAGGCATCTGAAGCTTGATTTTTGGCAGGGTGCAGTGAAATGGGTGTCTCTGCTCAGGAGTCCCCCTACTGGCCTGCCACACTAAGTATATGGGCCACTGAATACAGTAGTGGCTTCTCTTCTAGCAAGGCATAATTCCCATTGGTAGGTGGGAACTGTTATGATTCCTAGCCCTAGTAACCTGTCATCCACTAACGTGGATGGTTTGATAGATATCTGGCTCAGGTATTATGGTTCCAGCACTCGTTCCTGCCCAGGGAAGGGGGTCAGACTTGATGATCTGTTCAGGTCCCTTCTGACCCTTGAAACTATGGACAGCACCATTGCAGAAGAAATGTCATTCTGTGTTGTTCTTGAAGGCGGAAGTCACCAAGTCCTTGAAGATAACTATAAAATAAAAAGTAAAATAGAGCCTCCAGCATTTTGCAACTTCATAACAAAAAGGTTTTTTAGAGAAGTTAAAGAACTTCACAAGACTGTAGTGGAAAGGGATAATATAATATCTTAAAACGTAAAAGTTTAAGTGCAACTGATTTTATAGTATTGGTTCAATGTTTATGCAGTGAAGTGAGATAATAAACTGTGTCTACTCATTTCAGTTTAATTTTTAGGTGCCTCGTGAAGGTAGAGATTCATGAGCAAGTAGTTTGTAATACAAACTATTCTAACTTCCTATGGCTTTTTACAGGTTAGAAGTAGAATATTTTTGATTGTTGGAAAAGAGTTTATTGTTGTCTTTTAGCATACTTTCTAGTATTACTGGCAGTTTATCTAGTTCTCTCTTTTATCTGCTATTTTTTAAACAAATACATGTGACAATTTTTGGCTTCTGTTTAATGAAAAACAAGCTTTGTGAAAAAAAGCCTCAGAAATATTAGGTGAGTGTTGCCTTTGATATAGACATGCTACATTTTAACAGGTGTTTACATTTTTTAAACAGTTTCTAAGATCTGTCTCATACTAGTAACTTTGCTTCTTAGTTTTAGAAGACATCCCAGAATAGACACATCTGTGGCGTCACAAATACTGCTGTTACAGCGATACTAGGTTTCTCAATACAGAACAATGCATTGTGGGATATAGTCAAAAGGAAGAACAAAAAGCCCTCTTTGAGATATGCCAAAAGGATCGTAGGTTTGTAGCAGAGCTGGAAGAGACCTCATGAGGTCATTTAGTCCAAGCTTGCTGAAGGCAGAATTAGCTTTGACTAAACCCATCCCAGTCAAGTGTTGGTCTAATGCAATGGTCCAGTGCCATGTGGTCCAGCCTGTGGGGCTCCTCATGGGTTTGTAAGGGTGGCAACAGGGGAGTGGTAGCAGCATTAATTGCTCCCAAAGCCATAACAATAAATGCTAGTGCTGATCTCACCACCAGATTTCTGGATTGTGGGTCTGTGAGCCACATTGAACCTGCAGACCAACCCCGTGTATGGGATCTGGCCTGCGGACAAGCCCTATGCTGCTCATGTGGCCCATGCGGCTGGAGAGCTTGAGCACCACTGGTCTGAGCTGCTCTTGAAAATTTCCAGGGCTGGAGATTGCACAGCATAGCTTCCCAAGGCAGCCTTCTTCCAAAGCTTGACTACCTTCATTACCAAAAAGTTCCTTCTAATCTCCAACCATATTCCTCTGCTGCGGTTTGAGACTGTTGCTCCTAGTCTTGATGGGGAAGCTGCCTTACACTGAATTCCTCCATACAGCTTAGAAAATTGGGACATTCTTTACAGATTTGGGGAGACGATTCCATTTTCTTGTTTTCTTTAAAGTTTACCTGTATGGACCAATAGACTATAAAGCGTAAATGCCCATTTGTTTTAATTTTTCTTCTGAATAAATGTAACCTATGGAGTTGAGGCATCTAAGCGTGATTAACAAATGTCGTAAATATCGTATTTTTATTCAAGATACTGTCAAGAGTTTTGGATTGGATTCTTATTTTAGACTCATGCTAAAATGTTCTTTTCCATGTCATGCACTATATATGCTCTTTTATTTTAGATAGTTGTTTCTGCACTGATTTAAATCACAAAACAATATTAAAGGTTCTGTTGATCTTGAATTGTATGTAAAACAAGCTTGCTATATTGTTTTTTTTTTTTTAAAGTAATTTTCACATTTGTGCTTTGGTTTTTTGTATGTGGCTGATGACATAAAGGTTACAAGAGTAATCTTTGTTTTCTAGATCTTGCAATCCCTTTCAGCACCTACAAAAAGTTTAGAGCAACAAGTCAATCACAGCCAACAGGGACACCCAAATGCAGTGTTGTTTAGCCAAGTGAAATTAACTCCAGAGACACATTTATTACAGCAACCCCATCAAACCCAGCAACAACAGCACCACCCTCTTTTACACCTGCAGCCTCAACAACTCATGCAGCTGCAGCAGCAGCAGCAGCAGCAACCACAAATTTCCCAACAGCCTTTCCCACAGCAGCAGACACATCAGTTTTCACAACAGCAACAGCAAGTTCATCAGCAACACCAATTTGCACAGCAGCAGTTACAGTTTCCACAGCAACAGCTACATCCACAGCAGCTGCACCGGCCTCAGCAACAGCTGCAGTTTCAGCAGCAGCATGCTTTGCAACAGCAGCTGCATCAATTACAACAGCAGCAACTGCAACAGCAGCAGCTGCAACAACTACAGCAACAGAACCTGCAACAACATCAACAGCTGCAGCATCATCAGCAGCAGATCCAGCAACAGCAGTTGCAGCAGCAGCACCTGCAGAGATTACACCAACAGCATCAGCAGCAGCAAATGCAAAATCAAGCATCACAGCACTTGACTCAAGCATCACAGACACTACAGCATCAAGTTCCAGCCCAGCAGCCCCAACATCACCAGCAACAGCAGCCGCAATTGCAGCAGCAGCAGCTCTTTGGACATGACCCAGCAGTAGAGAGTTAGTGATGATTTTATGATCCTTAATATGATGCCTGGTGATATGAAAGATGTTAGGTTAAATAGGTTATGTTTTTAATTAAGAACTTAAAGGAAGTACTTGTATGTTTACAGCATGCCACTGCATTGCCTAGGAACCATGATTTGGACTGCGTTCTAGTAAGTATTGCATACATGGAGCGGTAAAACAAAAGACTGTTCCAAACTCTGAATGTGGCAGAAGCAGTGAAACACCTTTTAATATCTAGCATCTAAATGCATGAATTGTGCAATGACTGTGGTGTTAATCCATGTCTACTGTCCATTTTTTGTTTGGGATGGAAGTTTTCAAAGAGAACCTAGTTAGGGAAGAGTCCTGGAAAGGCTGGGGAAACTAGATAGCTCAAAAGATCGGTGTTGGGATATCAACTTTTCACCTCCTACAGTGCCATTTCAAATTCTGCCTGTGCTGGTAACAAGAAGAAGGTTTTTTTGTTTTTGGCTGTCTATTGGTGGTCTTTGTGAAATAGCTTATGATTCTCTGCCCTGTTAATCGCATCATATTACAAAAAGTATGTAAGGGCTGAACTATACATTTCTTTAGATGAACAGGATTTCAGTGGCTATCACTGGATATTTTCATGGATATCACTTCTTAAAATCTTTTGAGGGCTGAGTTATCCACAACATTTTATATGTATGTTGATTGTATTATTCTGTTGTAGTTTACAATTGATTTATATATAATCAATCCAAAATGTATTTATTCCATAGTTTGGTAGTGGGAAATAAATAATACAACAAATATGGTCTGAGATGGATATCTCCAAACTCTTGGTTTATAATTCTGTTCTTTCATGTGCCAAATTATTCTAGTTCCAGAAGATTATTTTCTCCTGGGCTGCGTGTTTGCAATTGCTGACTATCCAGAACAGATGTCTGATAAACAACTGCTAGCGACTTGGAAACGGGTAAGATTTTGCTTTGTTCAAAAGAACAAAATTGATACAGCATGGTGGTTTGATCAGTAAAATTATAAAGAATAAACATTGCAAGCACTATTTTTTTTTAAACCCTGATAATTTTCTCATTACCCATTCTGTGTGTGACCCGTGTGCATATATTATATGTCCCTTGTTATATGACCTAAAACAGTGGTGCACAACCTCTGGCCTGAGAGCCAAATCTGGCCTGCAGCATTTGTCATCTGCCCCATGCAGCTTCCCGTGGGTCTGGAAGTTTGGTGGTGGGAGAATGGTAGCAGTGTTAGTTGCTCCTAAAGCTGAGGCACTTAATGCTGTTTCTCTCTCCTTCAAAAATAAATAGCAGTCTTAAATCATTCCATGACAAGGTCTTCTCAAGTAACGTTTGTAATAATTATGATTAATTTGCACATAAGAATGCTCTGTTGTTTTTAATTATAGCTCCAACTCTTGAGATGCAAAAAGACTCCACTAAGAAGAGCGGTTGGCCCCCGTTGAAACTGTTGATTTGTTAGGTTAAGTTAAAATTTAAGAGTAAATTGTAGACATTAAAAGTTTAGCTTTTTTGGTTTACCAGATAATCCAAGCACATGGCGGCACTGTGGATCCTACACTAACAAACAGATGTACGCATCTTCTCTGTGAAAGCCAAGTCAGTAATATGTACGCTCAGGTAAGCAAAGCCATAATATGACTTGACATACTTTTGCTTTGGAGATTTGTTAAGAAATGCCAGTGCTTGCAGCTTTATTGAGCATAAAACAGTATGGGTCAAATCTTTCCAGCTTCACTAAGCCAGAAGTTCTGTTGTAGTTTATGGAATTTTATCTTGGTAACAAGTAAAGGCTGTATCACAATATTAATAACTCAGTAGTCCAGTGGGGAAAGAAGATAGCTGAAAATACGAATCAGTCAAAATTATTAGATTTATGGTGTAATCAAAACCATCTTGTTGTGTGGAGCAGCAACGCAAAGAAGAATTATGCAACCCTGCATTTAAAAAGATTAGAAAGTGATATTTAGACTGCCCTAACACTTAAAATTACAGTGCAGGTTGTTGCTCTTCCAGGAGAAACTTGAGTATCTGCACAAGACTGTAGTTATATTACATCTTTGTACCTATAAATGCAATCTAGGGTTTCCTGAGCCAAGGCTGAAGTGTGTACCTAACTTGTATTGATATACGTACCTTTACATTTACATTCTGTTTAAAATAAAGGGCATTTTTACACATGCTCTGGGAGTGGGGGGCACTTTAATTAAAACGGCTCCAAGAACTGCTCTAATTAAAGCACCCGGAGCATCTCATGCATCAGTGTCCCTGCGCTTAAAAATGGTGGTGGGGGTGCTTATCTAAAGCTTGTTGAATAAGCTTTATTTAGTGCGCCCACTGCCGTTTTGAAGAATGGAGCAGCAACAGTGCAGGGTGGTGAGCTTCCCCCACCCTCCTCCTTCCTGCGGCCGGCTGAAAATCCCAGTTATTAGAGTGTGTCGATGACTAAAATGCCAGTTAACACAGCTTTTACTCTGTGCGCGCGCGTGCGCGTGTGTGTGTTACTCAAAAAAAAACAAAAAACCCCAAACCATAAATAGGGACAAAAATATTTTTGATATAAAATTAAAATACGTTATAGTAGATGTTTAATTTTTAGTTTATGGTTTGTTTTTATCTATAATTTGTTAAAATGATATCTCCTGAAAGATTTTGGGTGGCCATTGACAGTTCACTAATACTCATTAAGTGGCCCACCAGCTGAAACAATTACCCATCCCTGCTCTACGAGCATAATTGCTTCAGGAAAAAACCTACTGAGTAAACTGGTACTGGTAAACAACTTACTGGAAGGAGCCCTACTACTGTTTTATTCATCTGGTTGGAGGGGTGTTCTGTTTATGTAGATTCAGAGATGGGTTTTGAAGTAGGTTTAGCACCCCTCCAAGATCAGGAAGTAAACAAATGTAATGTGCCTTTAAAATCAGTTTTACCTACTTCAGAATTGCAAATGGTAAGATGTTTTATCACTAGTTGTATGCCATTTTGAGACATAATTAAGGGTTTTTGTGAGGAATCAGCTGTTTACTACTTAAACATATTTGGATTTCTTCTAAATGTCATCTCAACATTGATTTTCCTGAATTCATAATGTTCAGGTATGGGATAATTATGGCTCTGTGTTGTTTGTTGACAATGTCAGTAACTTAAAAATTCCCATTTCAACATGGACTAAGACTCTCTAAGACTAGATAGAACCTTTGCAAAAAATCAAGTTAGTATTGTGCCTACGTGGTTAAAGGGATCTGTGTGTTTTCAGTTAAAGTTGTTTGGGACACAGAAAAGAATGGCCTGGGTGGTATTTTTTTTTAAGGGGAAATTTTTTTACTATGGTAAGTTTGGGGGGATATGCTATATTTTTTTATATATAAAATTGTTTTTGTTTGTTTTTCAATGCAGATTGGAGCATAACCTTACTCATGGAGTCTTAACAAGCATTTTCATAAAACTTTTTTATATCTTTTGTCATCTAAAACAAACTGTACTTCCAGCATAGTGTTCTATGGTATATCTGAAGGGTATGGTGTATGAAGGAGGGCTAGATATAAAGATTCTCTTGAGAGAAAGTATGAACAAGCAAAGTCTGTCTTTTTTTAATGGGTTAAGTGGGTGTCCGAATAGACTGTTTTCAGAGTGAGTTCAAGAAGGTATGGAAGAATTTCTAATTGTTGTTTATGCATTTGTTGGTAGGCTTTGAGAGAAAGGAAGAGATGCATAACAGCACACTGGTTGAACTCAATCTTAAAGAAGAAGAAAATGATACCACCACATCGTGCCCTCCATTTTCCAGTGGCATTCCCCCCAGGAGGAAAACCATGTTCTCAGCATGTAAGATGCAGCTAATTTGGGCAATGAAACCTCAGAAGTTTTTAATACGAACAATTTAGGGCAGACTTTATGTGCTTAATTAGTATTTACCCAACAAGTCCTGTTTTTGACAGCTTGTGATATTTTGCTTGCCTATGAAATGTAGGCATGTAAACATACAGTTATATACTACACGTATACAATAGGCTACCACTGGCGGGGCGGTTATGTAGTATACCCACCTGTACAGTAACATAAGTCTGGCTTTGGACTTCTTTGTTTTAGCCCCAAAAGCTGAGTGGCTAAGGTAATAGGATTCTACCCCTAGTATTCTACCCCTAGTATTTGCAGCTGCCATAATTGAGAACTGGGTCCAGTTTTTCTAATTGATACCATACATGAAAAAATAGCAATTTTAATAGTTATACAAGAGCAGCAATGCGTTTTTGTTACAGGCAAAACATACGTTGCAGTTACAGCTCAGGAATGTTCTCTAGGAATTTTATCTGCCTTAGTTTAACAGCTGTCTTTGCTACCTGAGATAATCATTTTTTCTCCAATAAAGGCGTTTCAGTTTAATATAGATTATAATAAGATAATGAATAAAGCTTGCACATGTTTGGGCAATTTCTCATTCAGCACTTACCACATTTTTGTGACTGGTTTTTCTCATGAAGGGCAAAGATCAAAAATTATTTCCCAGAAAAATATATGTAGCTCCAAAGATGGTGTTGAATTGATAGATCAGGAGATTTAAGGTAAAACAAAGGCAGGAGTCTGATAGTTTTAGTGCTAGCTTTGACTTCGAGTCTTTTCACGGCTTGGGCAAGTCACTCTTCCATGCAGTCTTAGTTTGCCTACCTGCAAATTGGGGAGGATGCTGTGAATTCATTGAGATTTGTAAGCAAATGCACAAAGTTAGAGGATAGTACTTTATTTGAAACCTACAAATACTGCCTACTACTTTCATTTATAATATTTATAACTTATTCTTTTCTGCCATAGATAATCTCAGTAACAGGATTTGTGGATAGTGACAGAGATGACCTCAAACTAATGGCATACCTAGCAGGAGCCAAGTATACAGGCTATCTGTGTCGCAGCAACACAGTTCTCATCTGTAAAGAGTAAGTAGTTTATCTTGCCAACATGCACATCAATAGTTTATTGGCAGTTAAGCTACAAAAATATCCTTTATTACTGTACAAAGTGTTGTTTATCTGTTTCATGATAAAAATACTTTTTTTTTTAGTTATTTCCCTAGTGGGAAGTACTTCCCTAAAGATGCTATGGATGCCCAGTGTTTTTTAATTATATTACAATATACTACACCCTACTAGTTTTTAAGAAAAAGGGAAAAAAAAGCCTAATCTTCTGAATGTTTAGAAAGTTACATTTTTTTTTTTATTTTGTTTGTTTGTTTGTTTGTTTTTTTGTTTTGTTTTTTTGGTTTTTTTTTTAGACCATTCAAACTAGTGAAAACTGAAATGGCTCAAAAGTTAAAAGTTGTACAGTACTGTGTTAATATTGACTGGGTAAATGTGTTTTACTAGAGCCAATTTAGATACACTGCTAAGGGCACCACCAGTTGTTTGTTCTTCACATGTATAACAAAAATACCTTTTACTGAAAACATTTATTTAGTTATAGCTACAGTTAAATGAATTCAGCAGGGCAGGTCAAGAAGGGAACTTTGGGGATTTAGAGCATATTGGTAGAAGCTTATTAATGTGCATGTTTCCTCTTTCCCCCCACACAATAAGGCCTAGTGGGTTAAAGTATGAGAAAGCCAAAGAGTGGAGGATACCATGTGTAAATGCACAGTGGTTGTGTGACATACTTCTAGGAAACTTTGAAGCTTTGCGGCAGATTCAGCACAGCCGATATATAGTATTCAACCTTCAAGATCCACTGTCTCCCAGTCAGCATCTAGTTCTGAATCTCCTGGGTAAGTAAGATTTTAGATTCACAAAATTCCATGTAGCCTAGAAATTACCTCACTGGATAAAATGATGGTTGTACTTGTCTTTGCTGGACTGGGACACACCTCTCCTGTAGCAGATTACTCATACAGTCCTTTTGTGTTGTGTCTTCACCTCTTATAGATGCATGGAGAGTGCCATTAAAGGTATCATCAGAACTTCTAATGGTATGTTGACTTTATGAAAGTTAACTTTATATAAAGTTATTGTTGAGATTTTATTCTGTATGAGCGTGTAAGCACGTCCACAAGAACCGGATGACCATAAATTTGTAAAGGCTATGAAACAATAAAAAGCTTCCTTTTTCTCTGATGTCTTGTTACCATGCATCAGAGTTAGGAGCAAAAGGAAAATATCCTTTGCAAAATCCAACCAACGATTATTTATTAGACAAGCTCCAAAAGCAACTGGGGATTTTGATTAGTCCCTTCAAACTTCTTCAAAGGCTTTGGTTTTCAGAGGGTTAGTAGATCAGACCACTTTTGCCCAACTTGAAGAACTTTTAATCAGTGGTCATTTTTGAATATCTGTTTTAAAGCATACAATTCTTACTAGGAAAAATTAAAGCAATATGTTTCTTACCAGTTTCAAATATTATCATGAGTACAAAAGAGTGAAAGCTTACAGATGAGGAAGCAGATGAGAGGAGGCGGCAAGCTGCAAGGAGGGGCCAAGCTGCTGGGGGCAGAGTAGAAAGGGGCTCTGCCCCAGTAGAGTGAATGATGTGCCATTCAGATTTCATTTCATTATAGCATTATATTTTTTTAAGTTTTTAAATGATTAAAACGATCGTGTAAATGGGTTACTGTCAAACCAGGTGACGGACGGCCAGGTCCGGGGCCACTCAAGGATCGAGGTGCTGACCAGGGCTGGGAGGAAGGAACAGATTTTAGGGGGAAGCCAGGTCTGGAAGTCAGGAGATGAATAAAAGAACAGGATCTAGGAACAAGCTGAGTCAGGAAGCTGGGGGATCAGGCAGAGAGCAGAGTCAGAGAGCAGGCCCTAGGGTACATCTGTAGAAGGTGGTCTGGGATGAGGTTGAACCCTGTTCCAGGTCAGTTTATATGGGCACCTGAAATCGTAAGTGGAGGCTCAGTTGATCCTGACTGGTGACAGGGAATGAGTGGAGGGCTTGGCTTTGATGGAGGCTTCAGGTCAGCCATGACCAGCCTGGGTGGTCAACTGTAGGATGGCAGGGTGGGTTGAGCAACTGTGCTAGTCAGGGCAAAGCCCCGGGTTTGAGGTTGCAGCCTGATGGTTACTTTAGCCTGCTGGCTTTTGCAAGAGAATTCACTCCCTGAGGAGCTCCTCAGCCCATTCTCCAAGGCAAAATTCAGTCTTAAGCAAAGTAAAATCCTTCTGTCCTTTCCCAGACATTAGGAGGTGAGCCTCCTTGCAGCTTGGCCCCTCCTCCACACCACTTCCTCTTCTGGGAGCTTTTAAATGTCCCAGTGGGACATTTACTGCTTACCCTAATGCCCCACAGCTGGGATCTCTAGGAGGACTGATCCTTTCTCCTTATAGGGATAGGCTGCCCTGGTACACGTAGTCAGACTGTGGCAGAAACTGACACAAGCAAGGCTCTTTTGATATTGCGATACATAACGTAAGCTATGTAAAAGTTCATCTGTAAAAGTGGAACATGCAACGTCAACCTTAAGTTCCGTGTTTTTGTCAATGCACCGAGTTTCGTTTTAGTTTATTATATTGCAAGCTTTCAGATTCTGATTTCCTTGGTAATGTGAGGTACATTTCTAATAATTGTTTTCACAGTGTCTCACTTGACCAATATAAATCCTTGTTTGCATCAATGAGCATCAGACTTGGTTGGCTTTAGATAACATCTCATGTTTTGGGGAAAATTTTTGCCTTGCTTCTTCTGTTCTGGATCATTTGTTATCTGAACCTTGCTATCATGTTCGTCACCAAGTGGGAACTGTATAACTGTCATAATTAACTTGTACTTTTTTTAAGCTGTCAAAATATTTTTAAAAAACTTTTTTTAAAACACTTAGCAGCAGTAGCCAGGACTAAAGTGTTCCTAGTCTTGGCCATAAGCCCGAAGCTATCTTCCAGTCTGGAATAGAATTGCAGACATATAGGAATTGGGTCTTTGTGCTCTGACTTCTTAATCATCTTTTTGGTAATCATTTTACCATTATTTGAATCTAAGCCTCCTTCCTTTGGTAGTCATTTAACTTATTTTTGTACAATTAAATAGTTAAGAATACTTGTGTGTGCATTAGTTGCTACTTAACAAAACTATAGGGGGAATGTTTGGCAAGACAGACAGTCAAGACAGCATGCCCATATGAATGAAAGATAGCTGTTGTTTTTTTAAGGGGACTTTATACACTGAGGCCTTGGCTGTGCTGGGATACTCAACCTTAGGTGACCTCACTAATTCTGTGAAGTCACTGAACGTAACATTAAATCCCTGTTCGGTTGCTCTTGCTCAGGAGTGAAGTGGGCTTGAGAATCTGTATGGAGGTTTACTTCATGCATTTTCACTTCGCTGTGGTCATTGGCTTCACATCTTCCGTTCATTTGCATTAACTTTTTGAGTCTCCCGGTGTATTCCATGGGCCTGACAAACATTTTATGGACTATTTGAAATAGGTTTGGTCAAAGAATATACAAGATACTAACAATGTAAAACTTTCCTATAAATATGCCAGATAATACATATATTACAAATCTGGATCATGTGCAGTTCTTGTTTTCCTCATGAAGCAGCTCATGAAGATGTAAAGACTTCAGTTGAAACTGTTCTGTGCTTTATGTTTTGCTGTTGAGAAGCACACATTTTATCAGAAATGGAAGTGGTCAGTAACCTAGAGGGCCATTAACAACTTGATTTTTTTTAAATAGACTTCTTTGAAAAATAGCCCGTTTTCTAACAGAGTAAACTATGAATAGTAGTAGGGCTGTGCTAGTCTTCGGTCCCTGATTTGGTGGCCGAATCTCCAAATCCAAATAGAATCAAAGGATCCTTTAACCTCTCTGAATCGAATTGGAACCCTCCAAATCGATTCGGAGAGATTCGGCTATATAGACAGCTTTAAATATTTTTTCTACATACCTCAAGGCACCAGGTGGTTTGTGAATGCTGCGATGCTAGGGCGCATGGAGTGTCCCACAGAAGCTTGGGGGGTGGTCCCCAGTGCACTCAGCAGCAGACCCAGAAGTGGACTGGAAGCACTTCTGATCCACTTCTGGGTCTGCTGGAGAGCATGTGGGGGCCCTCCCCTGACATCCCCAGCTCGGGATGCCTCCTGGGTCTGGGGTGGCACCTGGGGTCCCCCCGTGGCCGATCATCGAGCCAGGGGCGTGCAGGGGGGCCTCCCATCATGCTCCCCAGTGGACCCACTGTATGAACAACAAAGTATTCCAGTCCATTTCCGGGTTTGGTGCCCAGCACACAGGAGCCCCCAATGCTCCTGTGGGACACGCGATCTGCCCCAGCATTGTAGCGTTCACAAGCCGCTTTAGTACCTCAAGGTACGTAGAAAAAACATTTAAAGCTGTGTCTATGGCTGAATCACCGATTCTCCAAATCGGCATCGAATCTTCAGAGGTGAATTCGGCCGAATTGAATTAGGGACAGTGATCCAAATCAACAAATCGAATCACTGTCCCTGATTTGGGCCGAATCCAAACCCGAATCAAATAGGGCCCACTTCGCACGCCCCCTAATGAATAGCATGTCTGTGTTCAAAGTTTTTATTCAGACTTTGATTAGTAATCTCTTCAGGTGTTTTCTGCTCTGCTGTTGGCATTGTGAATGCTTCTTTAATTTGCTTTTCTCTCCTAATAGACAAAACACAAATGGTGTCAATGACATTGTCAGTGAACTTCAACAGAAAACCTTTTTGTTTCTTCTTTTCCTTTTTTGAATGAGTTTTTGTAATGGTGATTCACTTAAAGAACACTTTCCCCCAAGTTGGTGCTCTTTTAAAGAAGGACAAAACATTTTTGGGTTTGCCTTTAACAATATTTGCTGGCAAGTCAATTGTTTAAGGAACTTTTGTGTAAAAGTAGTGAGCGCATGTCATATTTTTCATCAACAAGTATAATTATTTGTTTTCATGTAGCTTCAAATATGTGGTAAGAAGTAGGCAGAGGTAGGGTTGTGAAAGAGGGGACTTAGGATTCCCTGTCAAAAAGCTTATGCTAAATTCAGACATGCATTGTGCTCTTATTACAGGGTGTGAGGTTACCCCTGAAACCAAAGCAAAATGAAACAAGTCTTCAGCCTTCTTCTAAAAGAGCAAGGTAAGAATAACTGGATACCAGTGACAAGAATCATTTATTTCCTTTTGCACAGACATCGGTTTCCTTCTTTACCAGAAATTTAGCAGGCTGCCCACAGAACTGTCAACTGTCCAGTTACTTTCTTATCCACATTTGCACATGTTGTTAGTCAAGCATTGAGGAGTTCAGAGGGAAAAGACAATACCTAATGGATGAAAGAAAGGAGAACATGGGGAGGGGAGCTATATAAAAGAAAGGTAAAGTGAGGTAGGGAGAGCTTAAGCTGAGAACAGGGACCTTTAAAATTAGGTAGAGGTAAGAAAGTTAGAGGACTGGCGACATTGTAGCATGTAAGAGGCCCAGTTGTGGACCAGAATCCCATTGTGCTGTGCTTGTACAAATAGAACAAAAAGATGTTTCTGCCCCAAAGGGCTTACAATTCAAGCTAAGGGTACAGTCAGACAATGAAGTACAGCAGGTTTAAAAAAGGGACAAGGACTTGCAATACATCAGTCCCCCTGTAGTATTGCCTGCCTACTGTTTCATACCTAAGATAAATGAAAGTGCAGTAGGTTTTCTTTGGTAAAACTGAGCTAAATTGCCCCAGTTTATCTTGTATTTATTGCTGGTTTATACTCGGGCCCATAAGCAGTTACCTGCATATGTTCCTCTGCAGTCAGTCCCTACCTGTGCTTTAACTTACTGTGCATTGTTTGTATATCTATACTCTGAGAGAGAGATTGGCAACCTTCAACCTATGGGCCAGGTCCAACCCACAGAGTCATTTGATCCAGCCCATGATGTCGGGCTTCAGTGGCATTCGGCTGTGAGGGTACTTTGGTGGTGGTTGCAGCCATGGGGGAAAGCAGTGGTGGTGGGACTTTCCCTGTGCCACCATGGAGGAAAAACGACAGTGGCGCCTGCCTGTCTCTGACCCAAATTGGTTCATTTCGGCCCGCAGCCTAAAAAAGCTGCCAGCTATGACCCTAAGACCAGAGAGAGTAGATGGATTCAGACAGCCAAGAGGCTGTGTCATCACTACAGGTATGTCAGCAGCCTAGCTGTTAAGATTTTTGAAGGTGTCATGACAAAAAAGCATTAGAAGGACTGATATGAAGGAGAGAAATTTTTTATAATTCAAATTGGAAAAAGAGCCAAATTGGAAAGAGGGGATTTTAAACATACGATAATGGAGAGCAAGAAAGAAAGGAGGAGAAGAGAATGGACAAAAACAATCAAGATAGAAATAGTATACTCATTTTAAAATGGAGTAGGAGCTAAACATTATAACAATAAAGATATTTTTCTTTATTTAAAACATAGAAACAAAGCCTAAACTTTTCTTGAAATTGAAATTACACCATTTCATGAGAGGTTGTGTTTCACTTAGCTTACAACCATTTTTTGAGATAGTTGAGTAGGTTCTTTCAAATGTTTTATTTTCATGTTTCACTGCTAACATAAAGGCTTGTAGTACTGTAGTCCTGTTGGATATTTGGTTTGAAGCGGGTGAGATTTTTTTTTTCTGTCCAGGGAATCATTCTGCCATTCATAGTGCGAAGTCTTTTAGCCTTTTATAAGGGTGAAGTGTGTGACATGTAAGTATAAGGAGGCAAAGCACTTTGAAAATTTCTGTTATCTTTTTGGAAAATTGCTGCATTTTAAGAAGCCATTCTGGAGGCAAAGTCACCTTCAGTGGGTAGGAGTTGGGACTTTTTTTGTTTCCAGGATGGAGATCATTTGCCAAAGAGAGAAATTCTGCAAACTATTAACTCATTGGACTACTCACAGGAGTAAAAACTTGCAGGATGGTGTTTAATTGATTTAAAATAAACACTTTGGGACAATGTTCACAGTGTTTGTGTGAAGTATATGATGTACATTGATATTTATGTATTTTTGTAGAATTGAAGACTTACCACCTCCTACTAAAAAGCTCACACCAGAATTGACGCCAGTGGTGCTCTTCACAGGATTTGAGCCTATGCAAGTTCAGCAGTATATCAAGGTGACTTTCATGTTTGTCTGCTATGCAGATTACATTGGAACGCCTTATGGCTTCAGATAATTTTCCCTGATTTAAACAAAAATTAGGGTGTAAGACTTTACCTCCATGTGTGAATGCCTGCTAGATAAAAAGAGAAAACATGGGGAAAATAGAAAAGAACATTGTTCTGTGATGTATTTTGCTAATTCCATGTAGCTTTATCCTGCTACTTCATGCTCACGTGTCGTCTCCTGGCCTCCCCGCCCCCGATAGTCATGAGGTTAAAGGCCTGGACTTCCATGGTAGCACTCTCTGAAATGCTTCTAGTTCTATGTGCAGGGCTAGAGATACAGGCAGAGCTCTAGAGTCCAAATGTGTGGATGAGATGGGGCAGGGAGGAGAAGTTTAGGTTTATCAAGAACTGGGGAGCCTTTTGGGACAGAAGGAGCTTGTGCAGAAAAGATGGGTTCCACTTGAACCAGAATGGAACAAGACTGCTGGCACTGAAGATTAAAAATGCAGTAGAGACGTTTTTAAACTAGGGGAAAGCCAACAGGTAGAAGACAACATGGGTTGGGTTCATGGAACCCCAGAAGGGGACATTATTCAGGTTCTAAACGGTCTTGAAGAGGATAGTAGGGGAGTAAGAAGTATAATAATAGTGAGGATAAATCAAAACATCTGGAGTCCCAGTCAAAAAGCATGAAGAATAACAGGCAGCTGAACAAGGACAACATTTATAAATGCTTCTACACAGCTGCCAGAAGCCTAAAAATAAGGTGGGTGAACTAGAACACCTGGTAGTAAATAGTGACTTTGACATCATAGGAATCTCAGAGACCCTGGTAGAAGGATAATAGTCAGTGGGGAAAGGAAACTACCATAGAAGCCCTGTGGGTAGAATTCCATACTTGAATAAAAAGAAATATGGTACTAGGGTTGTGTTAATGACCATCTGATCAGGAAGGAGAAGGTGATTATGAAATGCTTAGAAAGATTAAAGCCTGCTAAAATGGGACAAGCAATAATAATGGGAGATTTCAACAACCCTGACAGAGATTGGGTAAGTGCTTCATCGGGTAAGACGTGGCAGTAAAATTTCTGGATGTAGTACATGGCTATTTTCTAAAACACCTTGTTTTGTACCCTACAAGAGGGGAAACAGTTCTAGAGCTAATCCTGAGTAACACACAGGACCTGGTGAGTTACTATGTAATAGTAATCAGGGCATAATCCTATTCAACACTAGTGGTGGGGAGTAAGTCAAAAAAATCCACCATGCTGATATACAACTTTAGGAAGTAACACAAAAATTACACAAAAATTAAGAAGTTAATTAGAAAGAAGTTAAAAGGA